ATAGATAGATAGGAAGAAAGAAAGAAAGAAAGAACGAAAGGAAGATAGAAAGAAAGGAAGAAAGAGAGAGGAAGTGGTCGAGGGTGTTTCGGGGTAAGCAGGGTAACTTGGAGGACTAAAGAGAAGAAATAAAAATATTAACTATACCATGCAGCAATACATTTCTCAAAGGACTCACCAAGACCTGATGCCACGCATGATAAGGTCCGACTGTTTCATGATAGTCTTCATGGCCTTGTTCGGGGCCAAGCTCATGGGACTCTCTGTGTCCTGTGGAAGGAATAAACGAAAGAATAATAAGTGAACGGATTAATAGATAGATAGACGAATTCATGTTTATAAATAATTATAAATGCGATAAAGAATAAATTGAACAATAATTGCTATTGCAGGTTGAAGACATGAGTGAAATCCCCTTTGTGCGAGGTATTAAAAATTTCTATCGAGTATCATCTTCAGTCTGCAGGAACTTTCTGTCGGTTTCAGCTTGTAATGGCCCCGACGAGCATGGACAAAGCAGCCTGCCTCCTAAATTATCAAAATTGTTGATGTGGGCGAAGAAAATTGACGTTCTTTCTTTAATTTGGGATGCGTTTCCTTTTTCTTGTTTTTACTTATACTTATGTCATGCCTTCTTTTTGGTTGCTGTTGTCGTCGTCGTCGTCTTCCCCCTCCTCCTCTTCCTCTTCTTCCTCCTCCTCTTCCTCCTCCTTCTCCTCCAGTGTGTGTATTTATCCATTGTGTGTAATATGTTAAGCGATTGTAAACCAAATTTCCTCACAGGGACATAATATTATAAAGCAGACGAACATTTATTAATTATTTTATTTGATCTAAACTGATGAAAAGTGCGACTCAATTGTTTTTCCCCTGCAGTCTTCAAATATCTTCCCAAATACCTTGCTTGGAGGCGGCAAACGAGCCACTCGTAAAGCTGAGCTGTAGGTTCCCTGGTCTGTCTTCACAAACACGTCCTCGTGGTTTTCCACCCGCGAATAAACCGGTACCTGCAACATAAGCGGTTCTTCCACGTACGCTCCGGATATCCGGAACTCGTACACATCCGACATCAGGAGTTCTTGACTGGACAGCCCCGGTCCGAATAGGCTGTGAGAGGTGAAAGAAAAGGATTGGAAAAAAA